TAATGAAAATCTGAAAAGAATTAATGAGGAAAATATAAACTAAATCTAATAATATAGTCATAAATTAATCTACAACGAGTACTGAGATATATATTAAAGAAAAAATAAGAAGAATCTTGAAGACATAGATAAATGGTGTACTTACAATGCAAGATTAGCAGAAGAAATAGGTAAAGTTGGACACTGATAATCAACTTGGGCCTTGCAAAGCAAATTGTTAGAAGTAGCGGCAGGTTCAATTTCTGATGCGAGGAGTTGATGAGCCAACTAAGGAGAAGAAACAACTCAAATAGGCACTAGGCAATAGCAGGTTGCATTTCCTGGAAGATGCTTAGCAAATTCAAGTGAAATTAAGAAGAGAATCTTAATGTATCAAAAAGAAAGGCTTGAAGGGTGGAAGTGCAAAATACATGAAAACAAGCATTGTTTCACACCCAATCCATATAAATATTCTAAATTAAATTACTGACCTCTAAGTTTTTGTAAAAAAAATTGAAGTATAAGATTCTTAACTTTTTTTTATATTGGACGGTAAAAATTATTTGAAAAAGAGTATAATTATTTATATGTTCTTTAAATTTAACAAAGTTACTTAAAAATTGAGGTTTAAATTGATACTAAAAAAATCAATAAATTAAAATAAACAAGCATTTAAAGACTTAAAGATACCTTAAAAGAGCAGTGGGATTGATGCCAAGATAATTAGAATTTTGTGTGAATATACGCTGAAAATCACAGAGTGTGGACACTTTAATAACATGTGTCGGCACTGACCATCAATCTACAAAAATAGTGTCCGTGTCGGGATTTTGGACTAAGAAGCAACTTTGTTTTTTCAATGGGAAAAACTTTGCTGGTCTCTCAACTTTCACTTTTGCTCCACTTCGATCTTAACACGCTTTATTTATTCATCTGGGTCCTTGACTTCAATCTTCTCTTTTTCAAATTGTTCTTCTGCAATTCAGTCCTAATATTTCTGATTTCTCCCAAAAGGAAAAATTAACACAATAATATGTATGAGAATTCAACTTATCATATATCAATTCATGCATGTCTAAAGAATTTTAAGAAAAAAACTCTACTTTATTAATCTAATGTTAATTTAAAATAATAAATTATATTTTCTTGTGGCTTTTTTCCTTTTTCATCGACTTCTTCTGCATTGTTAACTATATTATCTCTCTACTCGAGTTTTTTCTTTATCTCAAATTCATTTCTCTCTCCTCCACATGATTTTATTTCTATTCTATTTTTTGTGCTTTTTGTTATTTCTATAATCAAAATGACTATTT